CACCAGCCATCTTTAGGCATACCCAATCTTTCGGCCAGCTCACTAGCCATCTTTAGGCATACCCAATCTTTCGGCCAGCTCACCAGCCATCTTAAGGCATACCCAAGTTTTCGGCCAGCTCACCAGCCATCTTAAGGCATACCCAAGTTTTCGGCCAGCTCACCAGCCATCTTCAGGCATACCCAATCTTTTGGTCAGCACACCAACCATCTTTAGGCATAGCCAAGCTTTCGGCCAGCTCACCAGCCATCTTCAGGCATACCCAATCTTTTGGTCAGCACATCAACCATCTTTAGGCATAGCCAAGCTTTCGGCCAGCTCACCAGCCATCTTAAGGCATAAAAGTTCAAAAACGCAATAAGTGTGTGAAAAAACTGAAACTTGAGATTACTAATAGTAGTATGTAGATGGTTACTCACAAAGCTGGCTTCTTGTACTATATAATAATCACCTCTATTCTTAGCTTGTCCCATTCCCTGAATTTGTAATGATACTGAACATATATTCAGACATTGCAACATCACAATCAGCTATTAGATCGAACAATACTTAAATTGTTCTTAGTCTTCGGTTTACAATGTTATTTCCACTGCAACACCACAGTCAGCTATTAGATGTTGAACAATACTTAAATTGTTCTTAGTCTTCGGTTTACAATGTTATTTCCACTGCAACATCACAGTCAGCTATTGGATGTCGAAAAATACTTAAATTGTTTTTAGTCTTCGGTTTACAATGTTATTTCCACTGCAACATCACAGTCAGCTATTGGATGTCGAAAAATACTTAAATTGTTCTTAGTCTTCGGTTTACAATGTTATTTCCACTGCAACACCACAGTCAGCTATTAGATGTCGAACAATACTTAAATTGTTCTTAGTCTTCGGTTTACTATGTTATTTCCACTGCAACATCACAGTCAGCTATTGGATGTTGAAAAATACTTAAATTGTTTTTAGTCTACGGTTTACTATGTTATTTCCACTGCAACACCACAGTCAGCTATTGAATGTCGAACAATACTTAAATTGTTTTTAGTCTTTGGTTTACTATGTTATTTCCACTGCAACACCACAGTCAGCTATTGAATGTCGAACAATACTTAAATTGTTTTTAGTCTTTGGTTTACTATGTTATTTCCACTGCAACATCACAGTCAGCTATTAGATGTTGAACAATACTTAAACTGTTTCTAGTCTTCGGTTTACTATGTTATTTCCACTGCAACACCACAGTCAGCTATTGAATGTCGAACAATACTTAAATTGTTTTTAGTCTTTGGTTTACTATGTTATTTCCACTGCAACAT